TATTCAAGAGTTAGTATGATAACAGTATTAATTATATAGGATGCCTGTTTATCAGTAATTTTTTTCTTGTTTAATATATTGCAGAAGTTGGTAACCTTATTAGAGATTAGTTTAGTTTGGATGAATAGTTACAGATGATAGAGAACCAACATCCAAGAAATTTAAATAGGGTATTTTTAAGTTGTGTATGAATTTGAGAGTTTATGTAAGTTATAGAAGTAGTTAGTGGAGAGTTAGAGATTAGAATAGATTTGTGTAGGTTGAGAGTTATATTTGCTATTTGGTAGAATGAGCTAGCAGTTTGTATAATCTGTTTAAGTTAGTCTTTGAAGTCAGTAATCCAGAGAGTATCATCTATATAAGCAAGAACAGAGGTGTTAGTTTGGATATTTTGAGAGGAGAAGGGAGATATTGAGAGAGGATAGAAGGTAAAGATAGTGTATTCAGAGTATGATGATGAGATTTGGTTAATAAGTGGGTCATAGTAAATTCTCCAGAAGAGCAGAGTAATAGTTTCATCTTGATCAATACCATCATGAACAATATTAGGCCAAAGTTAGTAATAACCTGATTATTATGGTCAGAGAGGAGGTTAGAGAATATGTTAATGAGTTAAGTTGGTATTTAGATTTTAAGCAGAGATTTAAGGAAGAGATCAGAATTAACAGAGTCATATGCCTTGCTTATATTCTGAGACAGGATCCAAAGGGTTTTTTGTGAACAGAAGTATCTTCAATAAAATTATTAAGGATATGTATAGGGGTATTAGTGCTATTGCCAGGTAGGGCAATATAATTATGGGGGTTAAGAATAGAGTAAGTAGAGAAAACTTTGTTTAAGCAGTTTGTTAGAATTTTGGTATAAAGTTTTTTGATATATTCTACTAAGCTGATAGGTCTGGTATTATTTAAGTTGCTATTAAAAATTAGTTTTTTGGAAATAGGGTATATGTAGCAGTGTTTTCATTGTTTTGGAATAGATTGAGTGGTTATACATTTGTTGAGTAGAAGGGTGATAATAGAAGTAGTATTATAGCTAATATGTTTGAGTATTTCGTAGCTAATACCTGATGGGCCACAGGCTTTTTTGTTAGAAAGTTATTGAATAGTTGAAGTGACTTCTTCTATAGTAATTTCTGTAAGAGTAGAGTTGTACTATTTAGTGCTAATATGTTGAAGAGGTGAGTAAGTATTAGTCTAGTGTTCATTAAAGATTGAAGAGTTGTAGGGTTTGTGTGAGGTCCAGTTTACAAAGTGAGATTTTATATAGTTTTTAATAAGTAGTGGGTCAGTAATTAGATTAGTTAGTGTTTTAATGTTATCAAAGAGTACATAATCTATATATCGATCTAGAATACTATTGATTATTTTAGTTGGTTGTTCACTTAGATTTTTACAATGAGTGTTAATTGAGTTGTTGATATATTAGTTTAAATGTTTAGTATTTTAAAGATTGTGTGTATGAAAAAGTGTTTTTCAGTAGGATTTGGTGTATGTGATCTAACTAGAGAGTAGAGTAGGAGAGGTAGGTGGATAAGTAATTTTGAAGTTATGTTTGTTGTTAAGTTCAGAGATAATTGCTTCAGTATTAGGGTATAGATTTGTGTGGTTGTTAACAGAGTTTTGTGTTTGTTTTATTAGATTTCCAATTGTTTTTAGGTCATTATAAAGTGAGGTTGCTATAGGAGTAAATGTATGAAAAAAATTGCAAACAGTATATTTTTTATTTGGAATATGTTGGAGAGCAGCTTGAGTAATACTCATTGAGATTTTATGCCAAATTGTTTCTAAAGAGCTATCGACTAAGGTTTGGGTTAAAATACTATGTAAGTGAAGATTGTGGTCGATTTGTTTTGAGAATTCTTTCTATTTTTCTCTGTCTATTTGTTTGTAGTCAAATACTTAGCATTTAGTACGAGATTTGTGATATGTTAAAGTAAAAGCAGTAGGAAAAGACCAGGATGAGATAAGTATTATGTGATCACTATTTGTGGAAGATGAAGAGAAGTCGAGTTGAAAGCTGTTAAGATAGGAAATTAGTGAGTCCTGAGTCCAAATATAGTCAATTCTGCTGCTATAACTGCCATTAGACCAGGTATGACCAAGATTATTAGTATAGCTAGCAAGGTCATACATATTAGAACTATGAAGGTAGGAGATACGTTTGAATTTGGATGATAAGGGGATTTCAAGTTGTGTAGAGGCGTTGAAATCACCAAGGTTATTAGTAATTTATATTAATATATAACAAATAATTAATATATATTAATAATTTATAATTATATATATTGATTAGCTACTATATATTGATATAAATTAAACAAAAAAATTTGCTAATAATTGTAAAACAGCTAATTAACTAATACAATCAATTGATCAAAATATAATAGCAACACATTTATCAATACATTTTTCAAAAACTATAATATTAGATATTTAGCTAAATAACTAGAATACCTTAAAAAAAATACTACACTTTCTTATTGAATCTTTTTATTAACATATATACAAATATCAACCAATTAGAAGTTGAATACTAGAAGCTAAAGTTAATATCAAGATACTACTAATAGTTGGAATATAATGCATTCTCCAAGAAGGCAGCCTTAAAAAAAAAAGAATTAATTGAAGTAGGTTGCATTTTAATTTGTAAACATACCTATTATACTTTAAATGTGTTTTATTTAAGTTAGAAAGTCAATACCAGTATTGCATCGGAGTCATCTAGTAAGATAGAGATAGATAAGGATATAAAAGAAGAGGTAGATAGTACTAAAGCTCATAAAGCTCGCAAAACTCAAGACAGTACCAATATATTGTTGAAGACCTCTCTTTAAATAATAGTAAAGATTTACAAATAGAAAAAGCTATGAATGCTTTATTAGATGCGTAATTGTAAAATGAAATTATAAATTAAAAATAGGTTAAAAAATAAATAAAATTTTTTTATCTTTATTTAATAATCAGCTTCAATTTAAATTTATACAATATTATAATGCAATAAAAATGATTTTTTTTTAATTAATTTTTTAGGGCTAGATTTTTTTTTACCATTTTCTATTCTTGCAGATTTTTGATAAACGAATGCCTTATCGTTATGTTTGTTTTGTAACTCCTAATTCACAACAATGACGATATCTAAGACGATTGCGCTATTGGCAATAAATAAATAAATAAATAAACTCATTTTAAAATTTAAAATAAAATATTATATCGAATGTTTGCTATGCTCTATACACCATTACCGTTACCCGCTTAGCTTACTTCAGTTTATTAAAAGAAAAGCACAAGAGAATAAGATTGTACCGATAATAAATGACCATAATGAATAATCAAAATACTTAGGTCTTAAAACTGATGAATTATTGGTTGGATTTTGTTGAGAAGGTTTTGATGTACTTTGTGAAGGCCTCGATGTACTTTGTGATGATAAACTTGATGTAAGTGACGTATATGACACCGAAACGGTAGTGGGAGTTTGTTGCGGAAGAGTGGAATTAGTTTGATAATAATTATCACCGAAACAATCTGCAACTGGTTTAATAGTATAACCAGCACCTTTAACAATAGGAATTACAGATGGAACTTGAGCAGCGGCATCTTTATATAAATCGTGTTCTAATGAAATGTGCCCAGTTTTTGATGGATCTTTAACCCATTCAGTAAAGTTTCCCTCAACCCAGTTTAGATTAAATGACTTGTCTCCATCAGACAACCAATCATTTGTATCCTTATCCCAAATCACAATTTTATAACCAAGTTGTTTGGCTATATCACGTATTCGATCGTCGTAATCACCATATGGTGGTCGCATATATTTTGGTCTGACGCCTATTGCAGCATTTATGGCATCGGAAGTCCATTGCAATTCAGCAATTATTTGATTATTGGATTGAGTGGTGAGATATGGATGAGACCAAGTATGTACACCAATTTGGTGACCTTTAATAAATGATAATGATAAATAATTTGAGAATTGAATTAAGAAGGAAAAAGAATAAAAATAAACTAACCACTTTTATGTGCTCTCTGTAAGGTTTCATAATTTTCAACCACTCGAGAACCAACAACAAAAAAGGTAACTTTGATATTATTTGCATCTAAATAATCAAGAACAGCAGGAGTATATTCACTAGTGTAATCAGAAAAGGATTTCGAGTTTAAGAATGAATATATTGAATAAATAAATTTAAAACATTTAAATTAAATTAATATTTAGTATAATAATTACCTCGGACCATCATCAAGAGTAAGTCCCCAATCTGAATATTCAAAATAAAATTAATATCTCGATATAAAAGTAAAAAATCTTATTTTTTTTTTTTTTTTTTTTTTTTTTTTTTTTTAATCGCATATATTACTTACCACCAGAATTTGGACATTTATCAATATCAGTTTCATTACGGATACAATTAGTACAAGTCCAATCACAATATAGGTCATTATTTGGACATTTACCAGCCATTACGTTAGTTAATGTATCAGGTTGAGCCTTTGCAACTTTTGATAGATCTACAAGTTTGTTATGGTCTTCTGTAATTGGTGGTGGTTTATCGAGTGGTGGCCAATGCCCTGGAAGCAATCCCATTGATAATTGAATTAATAAGCAGGTGAATATTAAACTTAGTAGAATCATAATACTATATTGATAATAGGATTCAATTTTTTATTAGAAATATCACACTATAAAGTTATTATGTTTTTTTCAAGAAAAAAATAAAAAGTGGAAAGTTCTTTTTTATGATAAATACGAATGACAAAATTTTATTTCATCCACTATATATATAACATTTAATTATATTGATTGTATAATAACAGTCTTTACTTTAAGATTAAATCTGAGTTAACGCTAATTCTTAAGTAGTTTACTAAATTTGAGCATCTATCTATGATCACCATTTTTTACATCTAAAACGATAAGTACGTTTTAAAAACATAGTACATAAGTTTAATTTTAATAAATATTAAAGCATATGATTTTTGTTTAATTGTCCAGGTGTTTATGTATTTTTTTAGCTATTTATTATAAAATATTTGATAATGCCTGTTGCCAAGTAAAATATATGTTTATTGATGGAACAAATTTTAACATAAAATAAATTATTTTATTACTAATAATTGGCTGAATAGTATCAGATTGGAAGTTTGTTTTATTATGTCACAATTAAATTCATCATCATCATCTCTGCGAGTTACTGTAATTAAGTTGAATTCATTTGACAGGATAACCAATTTCAGCAATTGTCATAACCTAGCATGTTGCTTACGTATCAAAAAGTTACAATGATAAAAGGAAATGAACTACGGTAATTTGATTAGTTGCATATGTTGAATAGAATCATTTTTAGTTTACAAGCGTGTGAATCAAAAAGATACCTCAAATCATTTTAGTTTAAAATTATTTAACTTCTTTAGAAATTTGACAAAATTTTTAAATATTTAAAAGCAAGAAATGAGTTATACGTAAACACAAATATGTAAGCAATATAGTAAAAGAAATCATTAAGGCACTTTCATTATTTTAAATAACATTAAAATCGTTACGTAACTAGTAATCTTGTAACTTCTAATGATTTTCTATATTTATATTCATTTTAATAGAAAATTCGTGCGTGCTAAAACTTTTCGCGAATAGCATTTATTACATAAGACACAACCATACACGTATTGTTTAATGTAACATTCAATGCTAGAGAAATTATTATTGCATAATTCCTTCTAAATAGTAATAATCTCTCCTTGAATTCATATAACTTTAAATGACATTTCCGCTTTGTACACATCTAACTATTGGTTAATAATAGATAATAGTTAACTTTTTTTGATAAGGGTCCTATTTGACCAGTAAAATTAATTATCCCTTCCCATAAATATGTGGTTATTCCCGATATTAAAATAATAAAAATTTCTTTATACTATGGTTTGGAAAGTGATATCTTGCATTCTGCATTAGTCTGATGATGTTCAGGGCCTTGGCCTTACTTAACAACGTTATTAATAATTGATCAATATTGGAAAAGTACTAAGAATGATCGAAAATTTAAAGTTAATTTGTTTCTATTGATAGATAATAAATAGAAAGAGATGACTGCTAAGCTATAATGGTTAATAAAAATTCAATCTAAAAATAGGTACGGGTATTATTCCACCTCTACGTTTCGGAAGGGTATATTAATAACTGATAAGTCTTTTAGAATCGAGTTCTAATAGGTCCTTTCAAGAATAGTTAGTACTCGGTTAGGGGGTAAGACTCTATATGATTTACATAGTGCAGCACTATATAATTAGTGCACTAAGTAAGATTTTTGAAATTTTGTACGTAGATCAATTTACGTTGAAAAAAAATTTAATAATAATTAATTCATATATGTTTACTATTGTTAACCGACGAAGCCACGTGGCACGTGACTTCGGGTAATCCGAATTAGGGTGACCCGGCCCGATTCCACCGATTCAACCGATTCGTTTACTTTGACCAATCAGACGAATAGGACTAAATAGTCCTATTGGTAAAAGAGGAATAATTGAAGGGAACGGTTGTTTAGAAAGAATAGGATAGTTTAATTAGAGTAGTCATTTTAATTAGAATCATAATATTAGAAGGAATAGTCCGTAAAAATGTATATAGTAAACTGTTCTTATAAATAAAGGCCGAAAAAGCCATAGAGGAAAGACACCTCCTAACTTCGCTTTATTAAATAATCACTTAACTCCTTACATATAATAATTGTTCATCAATAAATAATAAATTCGTTAAACTACCTAACTCCAGTTTGTTACTAAGTGGCATAGTGATAAACTTTGTCTCTCTCTCTAAATCCTGTTCACGTGACTCCTCGCTAAATTTGATACCCCGTCCAGTTGTTATCCTAACGTACCTGGTACAACTGTGGTTGATTTGTCCAGCTTACCCGAAGTAGTGTGGTATAGCTGAGGTTGAAGAAAGACTAGAAATTACCCGGATAATAGAAAGACCAACCTACGAAACCAACCAACTCGCCAAACCTAACACGCCTCTTTCCAGTAAAGCCTACCGTAGGTAACGCAAAGTATTTGGATTGTCAAGCGACTGACTCGCCGCTGTTACCCGGTTTCACTATGTATTTTTTGCCTTTTTTGGAATCTGAAGCTTCCCAAAATATAACTCATTTTTTTTATTAAGTAAACCTCATTTATGCTTCTAATAAAACTTATAGAGACAAAAATTCCGGTTATAATGGTGGTTAAAACGCTAAAACGGCCCGGTGGGTCACGAGATATGATTGTTTTAGTCTTCACGGCTATTATATTAACATCTTTGTTTTGATCATATAGCCACGAAGACTAAAACGCTCATATATCACGTTTATAACAACTATTATAACCGGAAAATTTTCCTTTACAACTTTTATTAGAAGCATAAATATGAGTTACTTAATAAAAAAAATAAGTTATCTTTGGGAAACTTCAGATTCCAAATTTAATAATAAATTTCACCACTTTTTATTACAGTATTATGATGTTTCACTGGTTCCCACGCGGATTACGAATTGAGAGTATGGTTTTAAAACTATTTTCTAATTTATTTTATTAATTTAACTAAAATTATAAATTTAATGTTAAATATGGTCACATAATTTTAAAACCATACTCTCAATATATCATTTACAAGTTACTGAATTTAATTTGCTTCATTAAAATAGAAGTTAGAGCGTTTTAAAAATACACCAATTTTTTATAATTAATTATTATTAATTGTCAGGGATGATGCAGAAATTCGAGATCTCGATTTAAAAATATAAACCCTAGTAAAACCCACCTATACTCTTTTATTATAAACTCTAACCCTAAACCCTAACCTAACTATAAAAAAAAAAAACCTGTAAAAAAATATGCTAAAAAATTTTTAAAATTTCATATTAAACAAGAAAAAAATTACTGATAAACAGGCATCCTATATAATTAATACTGTTATCATACTAACTCTTGAATA